TAAGGGTCAAATAATTTATTTCCCAGAACTCATCAATCAGCTTTCGAGTTGTCTTTTTACTCATATGATGAATGATGATAATCATCCCCCCACTTCCCAATTAAACTTATACTTTTCGTTTCTGATCACTCAGATATAAAAGCATCCCATCACACAACTATGAAACTCTAGTTTATAAAAAAACTATAAAACAAGAGCTGCACTTACATCCTATGAACCTCTTAGCTACTATTGTTCTGACATTTGCACATGTATTTTGCAACAAGGGTGCTGCCAATGAAGTGAGGAGCAACAATTTGTACTTTCCTGACTTTTGGGGAATGGGTTTGAATTCTGGTCTTGGTGCTGGTCTTGGTGCTGAGCCAACGCCTGCTGATATAGCTGCTGCTGCAGCTGGCAGCAGAGCAGCTAGCTACCGATTTTCTAGGCGGATGTCAAGCAGTTATGGAATATAAATAAATGTTACTTGTACAAATGAACGATATGAAACTGCCGCAGCAACGAAGTGTCAGTTTCGTTTCACCTGTTCAGCTGCTGTAATACAGCAATTGATGCCTAAGATGCTGTGCTTTGCACGCAATCTTTACACCTGGTACCGCCCGTTTTTGTACAAATTCAAATTTGACTGCTATGCCAGGTTTGAATTTACACCACACATTCAACCAATCTGCCACTTCTGCACCCTTTTTCATCAAAAGCATGGATGTTAAGGGCAGCATCGTATGAAAAGACAACTCGAAAGCTGATTGGTCAATTCTGTGAAATAAATTACTTGTCGTTAATTTTATTTCTGTTTTCAGGATTAATTAAACATCTTAGCGGTTCTCTTTCTGCCCTAGCGGCAGACCGGTATACACAAGTAACCATTTCTGTGGTGAAATCACCCTAAAAGATTGTGGCTTACGCCACGGGAGAGAAAGCCATGTAACATTATTACGTCCAGCCATAATGCCACGCCTGTCCCGGCTACAACACAATTCGTTGCTCTGCCGAACCAAAGGTTTCCGTACGCATGCAACGCTTCCAGGCCATAACATACATCGTGCCTGCACCAAGCTATTACATACGAACGAGCAAACTTGCGCACGTTGCTGTTCTCTCCACAAAAATTAAATATTTTTGCTACCACGGATACCAACGAACTGCCCTACCACAAAAATTACGTTCAATCCACAAAACGTGATGATTGACCGTACGATAATTACAACAGCACGTGTACCGCAATCTAAAACACATGGTATTTGCACCACAAGGTGAACAGCAATCAACGCTACGTGCAGATGCCAAAACGACAGTCTCCACCGTTGTGCCACAGCTCCTGGTGCGGATAACGATGGCTAAAGGTGTTGCTGCTCGATGTTAAAACGAGCAGTTAATGCGCATTATGGAGTGTTAATGCGCACCATGGAGTGTTAATGCGCACCATGGAGTGTTAACGTTTAGGAACCAAATTTTTAAAAATGTGTGAACTGAGCTACCGACCGGAATAGTTTGTAGAACACGATACAGTGCCATATTACGAACAGCACCTGCTCCATACGCACCGCTTACGGTTTCTACAGCTCACATCAAATGCGCCAGTTCGTAGAGATTCGAGTTCAACGGACATAGGACCGGTTATGGTGAGGTATTGTGTAGCAGGCACCCTTTCCGCTGCATTGTTGGGTGTAACTGCTATTTTTAGCGGTTGCAGCTTGCAACAGTGCAGAACGGGGTAAACCAAGAGCACAGCGCTTTTTAAGTTCGCGAACGAAGTGCTGGACACGGTACCTCAGTTTTTACCGCACCTTTCGTGTTGTAGCGGTTAATATCGCTGAAAGGGGTGCTGTTCACCGTGCATGTTTAGGATGCACTACGCCGCTGAGCGGTAGTTCCCCATGCTATATTGTACGAGGTATCGCTTACAGCAATATCTACGGAATCGTAATGTGCAAGAAGCACTTGCTCAACGTAAAAATGTGCTTTTGCCGATTTGCCATGAAAGTTGTGAAGAGCATGCACCACCATAAACATATCGCCATTTTCTATGTGCAATCTATCGCACGGCTCCTTTTTATCAGGAATTTGCGTTTCATATCTTCATTCAATTACCATGCACACCGCACAAAGGAAGAAGCAGCTTGAAAGATGATTGATCGGTTCGCAAAGAAGCACAAATTTTGTTCACATTCTTACGCTAAATCAGCGGCAACTATTGCTGTACAATTCATTTCTTCGCCACGTTCTCAGCCGTTCTTTACAGATAGCATTAAAACTGCACAACTACCAGGTAAAAATGAACTCCTCAGCCCTAACAAAGGATTCAAAACCTGCAAAAGACATGGGGTGACAGTAAAGGAGCGAAATATCATCGAACAGGTGATCAAATTTTGTTACGTTTTATAAAAGGAAATAGCACGGCTGGTATTTACCGAGAATAGGGACTCATCCAAATTATGAGGGTATTTCGGACGGTTTACAATGCTGGATATGTACACATGCCGTGTACACAGCACCACAACACTGCCGTATCGTCAGCGTATTCTGTTGGTTCTCTTCAGAATCATCAAATAGCTGGTCAATTACCGAGTGCTCACTGAGCCATCCGCGTTGTAAACGCTGCATTCCAATCATAACGCGTACGATAACCATGTCAGCATTAAAATACGCACCAATCGAACGAGGACTATCATTTTCAACATCGGTCCCTGCCGATCACATGCACACCCACCAAACCATCAAATAGCAGCTCACCAATCATTGCACAGCTCAAGAGCAGAATTATAAATCATCATTCAAACATTTAATGTGTCATCAGGAATATAAATATGAGGAGCATCCTGCTCACATGTACTTCAAACACTCCGTTTTATGTCTCACGGCAATTGCGCATTTGTTTGCTCCATGTGCTGCTGAGAACACAGACAAAGCCTCCACGAAAAGTAACGAGCTGATGCCTTACAGCCCCTTCATGCCTCCCAATGTTGTTAGTCCCGCCGAAGTTGCTGCTGAAGCAGCTGCCAGGAACTCTGCGGTATCATCCGCCTCAAGGTATGCGTACACGTCATCAAAATATATGTTTTAGATGTTTTTTCTGTGATTGTTAGATATTAAAGTTTGGTAATGGATTTAATGACAGGGCGTACCGATTTTTTGAGGAGCGATCCGAGCATTCTTTGGGCTAAGCCTGCGTGACGAACTGTAAGCATTAACAGCACGGATCAATAATTGGTATGGGCGTGTTCTTAGAGCCTTAATTTTTTTTACCTGTTTATGTTTAGGGTTAGAGGGTTCATACCCGGAAACAGGCAATGCCGGACAAGCAATCTTCTTAAAATGGCTGTTTTGTGGCAACGATTACGTTTCGGCACGTGTCTTTGGTCTGCAAACCGTTGTATACTCGTTATCGTTCTGCATTGGCACACAATAGGTAAGCGGGTGGATAAACCTTTCCTTACCGGTTGCTGTGGCGTATCCTTGCAGGCGGTATCTCTCTACGCAAACCGTGTATCTGTCAGCTTTTTTAGCCACTCATCCTATTGAGTTTGAGACCCACTTTTTTACACCTACCAACAAAGATTCGCACTCACACATCACGGGTAAAGCGCCTTATCATCTCACGTGGTATATTATGCCATTTCTGTGGTTTCCACAGGTGCACTCGCTCACATGCATGCTGTCTGATCCGAATCGAACACGCCATTAGGTCATTCGCAAAACCGACCCGTTCTCTACCACGTTCACCAGAAGATCACCCAAAAAACGTATGTTAATTCCATGCTACGCACTTTAATCCGTGTTATGCCGCCCAACCCCGTAGATTCTCACGGAACAGCCTTTCAACACGAACGAAGTGATGAGATGGCCGTAATTAACGTGCTCGGTTACAAAACCATCTTTTTTTCTGAATCGTGTTTTAGCACCGGTTAAAATGTAAAAATAGAGCTGCTGTAACGGTTGTTTGATCGCTGCACTTTCCTGTGCCAGCAAACGGCATTACGTGCACACAGGGCAAGTGTACCAAACCACCACGGTTACGTTCTAAAGCGCGCACTACTACGCGTTTTATCGATTTATTTACCTTTTACCGGTATTTCATCATAAAACGAGCTGCATCATGGTGTGCAAGATCTGATTTACGGTTAGATGTGAGAAACGGTACTAAACGCAGTTTTTTGCACTCGGATGCAACGTGTGGTCAAAATGCTACACAGCATGTCAATCCTATCACTAAAAACCATTTTATACCAGATCAATGGTGTTAGGGCATTCGTTTGGTTCACACAGGCCTGTCACGGCAACAGATGCTACGATGCTAGTTGGAGTGCACCCGGTAAATGAATCTCAGTCCGTTTGAAAGCATTGTTTCAAGCACTACATCGTATTGCTGTTCAAGTGATGAGTCGTTTGTTCATGGTAAATACGCTATCTCTATGTACCACTGTTATTCGTGGTACATTTTACCGATCGAAATAATCGAGTTGTGTCTTGGAAGGTGTGCCAAAATATGCAACTCTTAACGAGCAACGAGCAGTTCGCCGTTCGTTCTTGGGAATAAAAAAGTGCTTTTCTGCCACATCGTGTTAGACCCCTTTCTCAACTAGAGCGGCCCTCAGGATCATCCTTACCGACTGGTATTTTTACTAAAGTACGTTTATTTATCCTTTCAATTGATGACTCAGCATTTTGCGGTGAAGGCATTTTTACCAATAACCTATTTTGTGCTGCAACCGTAGCTCTTCTCGGTATTTCTGCATCCCGAACCGGTCGTATTAACAACCGTAGCTCATCGATTAAGAACCGTATTCAGTGCCAATCAATCCTTGCCGTGATATGAGCGCTTTAACTGAAACTGGGACGGTCGTTAATCGATCATTTTTCAATTCCAGCCCTAATGCAGGCACACCGCATGCAAAACAGCGGTACCAACAGATCTTCAGACGGGAAGAGTCTCCGGCAATCGGTACGTAAACCAAAATATAACAGCACAAACTATCAATTGCACAGGCTGTAATTGAACGGACAGCCTCTACGTGTGTGAACACTTGGTACGTATCACAAAACATAAGATCAACACCGATCGTGCCAGCCACAGCCGCATCACAGTTGTATAGATGGGTATTGTATGATCTAAGCTCAGCACCAATGTTTATTTGTTCTGCATACTTCACGTTTTTGCCGTTTCATCGTTTTCACCCGGTATAATTTGCGTGTTTCATTTCATATTTTGATTGATATTTAAAACATGGCAAAAACAAAGTATATAAAGGAATGCGTACGTATTCTCATGCTAGGAAAAATATTTGCTTTTGGCTTTGTTCTATTCAGAAGTGTTTTTGCAGGACAGGATATGAAGAAGGATAATTTGTACGGATACGGTTATCCGTTTGGAGCATCGCCTGTTGCTGCTACTATGGGGAATGCTGTCGCTAGGAATGCGGCCATTGCTGCGGCCACGGGGTTGTAACTAAAAGTGTTTTGAAGTAACATATTTTTGTGCTGTGAGCACCATTTTAGCTAGCAAAGCGGTGCTATCATCCATAAAATTACGGGTGTGTACACCGCAATTATCGTGTTCATTCCCTTCTTTTCCTTCTTTTCCTTCTTTTCCTTCATTCCCTTCTCTTCATTCCCTTCTTTCCCTTCATCTTCATTCCATCTTCTTTTCCTTCTCTTTCATCTTCTCTTCATTCCCTTCATTCCATCTTCCTTCTCTTCATTCCATCTTCCTTCTCTTCATTCCATCTTCCTTCTCTTCATTCCCTTCCCTTCTTTTCCTTCTTTTCCATCTTCCTTCCATCTTCCTATTCTTTCTCTTCTTTTCCCTTCAAGCATCGTAAACAATCATCCAAATTAATTCGTTAGTACCATTCATTTTCCCATGTATTAATCGTAGAATATACGGTGATTGGTCAGAGCATCTCAGCACAGGCAGTTAAAATACGCGTCATGTAGAAATAACTCAACCATAGGTACTCCTATGTACGGTGCTGAACCGGGTACTATCGATGTAAGCACCGAACACGGATGTACAGTGCTACACAGCACTTTCATAACAAATGCTCGTTTCATCACCGGTCCTGATGTTTTTATGCTCACATCAAGTGCAAATAAAATGTTTTATATTTTCATTTTCTTGAACAACAAAGAATTGCACTTAGGTGCATGCAGAGGTGGCAGTCCAACGGAATTACCGGCTCAACCGAATTATAAACTGAGAGCCGACCAGACACGCATCATAACACACCCTTCCAACGCAGAAATGGTGTCATAATGGTTGATCCGCCTACTGCCACCCCTCAATACGCTGTAAAACAGGATTACGGTCGATCTACCTTAAAATGTAATTGTTGTGCCGCATCGTAACAAGTCGCATGGCCATGACTGCAATCCAACACAGAATCAACCATGCAAGCCATAGGGGCTCGTACCAGGATCTACACAGCAACTTTTATTTACAAATCATTTATTTAGAAGTAAGGACTACCGCCAAAGGAGCCGCCAAAGGGGCCGCCAAATCCGTTCGCAGCAGCGGCTGCATTTGCTGCTGCTGCTCGTCTTGCTGCCGCCTGCTCTATTCCTGCGCTTCCTGCACCGAATGGATTCCATGAACCAAAATTACCAAATAATTGACTTTTTTTCGCTACTCCTTCGCGTGCTGCTATAACTGAGAATAAAAGTGAGAGAATATGCATAAACGTAGAATTACGCATGCTTTTATATTTTAGGTGTTACTTTTTGTGTTATGATGCTGATAAACATCTTATAAACTGTTTCGTGATCTATCTCTTATTGGCGTGCACGTGTTTAGCAAAACGGTGATAGCACCTCGTTTCTGATCTTACCGTGCGGCATGAAAACATGTGGCGCACGTTGCATTTGTGCACCCGTAATTTTGTTCATTTTTAATTGCACTCTTGTTCATTTATGCGCATGAATAAGGCGCCACAACGCGTTTATTACGCCGTTCCTGCTGTCTCATTTCCATCGCCTTGTTTATTCCTGTTTTAGCACCTTTCATGCTTATCAGCGCCTTTACAGCTAAACCAGATCACAAGACTGCCACTGACCAATAAAACGCGCCGTATTGTCACCTATCCACTAGATTCCATCACCACGATCAAAACACGATAACGCGATAAATATGTATCACATATATCACCCGCCATTATCTCCGCTCATCCGATCACCCTCATTCCTCTTGCTCAACCGCTCCACACGCCAGAACACGACCTCATCGTCCTTAACATCTCCAAAAATGAGGATCTTCCCTGCACCGTTTACAACCCTCTGCACCGCAACAACACTCAAATAGCTTTGCTTGTCATACGCAAGACATGCGTATTTAGCGTGCACCTTGTTCTTATCGTGTGTGTAGATCAGGAGATCGGTGCCGTATTTGATGCCATCGCTGATTTCGTATCCTGCTGCTGTAAGGTACGATTTTATGCGAATAAGCTTTTTTTGATGGTTCATCTATTTTCAACGTATCGAGGGTACGCAGGGACATAGAAATTATTTTTGGGCAGAATGAGCGGTTTGCGCGCAGAAATGGGAATTACTTGCACAAGAAATAAAAAGCGTATTAACATATGCAAATCAAACCTTTTTATGAGCAACAAACATTTACGCGTTTTCATAAAACAAGCATGTTTATAGAGTATAAAAAATTGTACATCACTTCTATGCATGCAGTTGACAGAAGTGGCATTAGTTACTGTTCACAGAACGTGATGCGTTATAATACGCTCTGATCTGCGTAAAAACACTAAAAAGAAAAAACTAACCGAATCGTGCCTTGAGAAGGACCTAAACAACGAAAGGGTAAGACAAGCAAATAAAAAAATATTATAGTTGAAACCGAACTGCATTGATTTGATTAACGAGGGATAGATGGAAATTTACTTCTAAATGCTTACACGTATTAACAAACACATTTTTGTACCGTATCGTGGTTTCATCACAATACGAAGAGATGCAGATCATGCAAATAAACGGTCTTGGTGGTACAAAGCACGCTGTAATTGGTGGAAAGAACAGCTCACTTTCGCTACTTTTACTTTATCTCTTTATAGGAATGCGCATGTAATGTAAATAAGCGGGCTACACATGCAGCTTTCTTATCAGTTCATGCAACTTATCGTAAATAAGGTTGTGCATAAATAAATAAGAGAACAAAAGTATATAAATAGCGACAAAACACTAAATATCTGTCTTTTTTCACCAAAAATATTTTTATTTATCTTCTCATACAACAACACCTGAACAACACGTTTTTATGGTTTTATCCTGTGTATTCTGCGTTCTTTTTTATTCAGCACAACGACCCCTCATGATAATTTCTAGAACATGCATAGAGCACAAGCAGAGTAAAAGACGGTGTCCTATTTTTACGATTGACTGCTTGAACGCCCTTGTGGTGACCGGCAGCTATAACGGAGAGGTGATTGTATGGCAGGTCGAGGACAAGGGCAGCGGTCATGGCAGGCGACGCGCACTGCCTTCCTTTGCGGTATTACAGAAAATTTACGATCACAAGTCATCAGTCCTTAATGCTCGGTTGCATAACGAATACCTGATTACTACAGGTGATGACAATCTTTGCATACTGTACAAACAAATAAAGTACGGGGATGAGTGCTGCGCTCAGGATAATGCAGGAACCGATGGAGTTGAAAAAAAGGATGAACAAAAAAGCATGCACGTGGGGGAGTGTATTGAGAATAGCGGAATGCGGCAGATGAACGATGCAGTACCAACGATAGAGTACAAAAAGATGAAAGTGATCGCGCATCATAAGGCTGATATAACGTCCTTGCACATAAAAGAGGACACCTTTTTTACAGCCGGTCTTGATGGTCTGATCTACGTGTATGATTTCACAGGCTCGCTGCTCAACTACCTAGACATACGGGCTCCCATCAAGGGGTTGTACACGAGAGATAATAAGACATTCGTGAAAACGGACACGCACCTTCTAATTTACGAAGACAAGACATTGAAGAACCGAATTGTGTGCGATGGAATACTCAATGAGTCATTTTTTGCCCGAATGGCAAGTTTTGGTAAGTTCATGGTTGTTCCCTCTATGTTCAACAACAGAGAGGACGTGGTAATGCTGGTAAGTGAGGAGGAGATACTGAGCCTGGTAGGGTTTATTGCTCCGGTTGAGGTTGTTTACGTGTTGGGGAATATTTTGATATGTGGTTGTCAGGATAAAAGTGTTGTTTTGTGGCGACATGAGCATCACTACAAATTGCGAGAAAATTTGTATGAGGATGAGGACGAGAAAACTAAGAGAATTAAGGTTGATGATAGCAAGGGGAAGGATAGCAGCAAGATGTGTTTGGTGGATAAGCAGGTTTTAAATGCGGATGTTGAGACAAACACGAGAGACGAAAAGAATGGCAGCGTTCAGCAAGATAAAGCTGCGATTACTTTGTCAAACACGGAAGGTAAGAACAAGGACAGCACTCAACAAGATAAGGCCAAAACTAATTTAGAAAGCGAAAAGGAAGGTGATGTTCAGCAAGGTATGTCAGCAATTACTTTAACCAACGAAGAGGGTGAACAGAATGGCAATGTCAAAAAAGATACGGTTGAACAAGAAATGGCAGATGGAAATGTGAAGAACAGTGTAGAGATTGGAAATAATAACGATAAGAATTGCAAAGGGAAGGATATAAAGATGAGCAAGCAGACCGCAAATGCCTCAGCACCGAACAAAAGTTCAAAGGAAGGGTCTCCAAAGAACACGGTAACAGTGAACAAAATGAAGCAGGGCACATATACACGACCGTTGTGTCTCATCAAAAACTTAACTGCCTCACCAATTCTTGACATAACCACGTACAAGCGAAACGTTTTGTTCTGCAGTTACAGCGGTGAAGTGATGATGGTGACCTTCGATACAGAACAAATAGAAGAGGTGAAGGAAGAAGAGAGGACCGATGTAAATATAGGCAAGGAGCTGCTATCAATTACTGATCAGAGGATGGGTGCAATAATGAAGAGTTGTTCGAAAGACAGTGCAGATGAAAGCAGCGGTGTTAAGTGTGATAGCGAATATTTTACAATCAGGAGCGATGTAGAAAGGAAGAGAGGAAGACCGAAGATGTGTCGGAATATGGAAATGGAGAAGATCGTGTTGGATGAGATGATGATTGGTAAAAGAAAGGTGCTGAGTCAGGATGTTTGTGCCGATTCAAAGACCGGTGTTTCGGATCCGGCCAATAAAAAAACTATGACCGAGAAATCGGCGAATAAAGATGATGGGATATCCGGATCTAAAGGTAGTGTGGTGGAGAATAACAGCACGGTAAAAAGCAATCAGCCATCAATTGGTGCACAACAGGACAAAGCAAAACGTAGAATAACACCTGTTCTGATACCGCAGCTCACAAATTACGAAAATAAGATCGTGAGCGTAAAGAATAGCATTTATGTGCTGTTCACAGGAAATGAGGATCGCAGGGTGGAGAGAGAATGCATCAAACCGGTTTTAATGAGGATGAAGGAAATAACGGTCAGGATTAGCTGTGGTGGCAGTGTAGAACAAATCAGAGGGCAGAAAGTGTGCGGTGATATTACCATGCGTAACCAGAAAGAACGAAATGTAGGAAACACAGACCAAAACATTCCAACAGATGATGGTGATCGAGTCACTCTTGTGAGCGGTAACACCGGGGTGAGAAAGGAAAGGAGCATCTCCTTTAGTTTGTACACCATAGATGTTTCCATCAATGATGTGCTCAGGTACACCCTCAGGTACAAGAATGTACGCCTGCTTGCATTCTCTAACAAGTACATCGCAGTTTATACAAATGTTCTGATAGTGAAGAGCGTAATCTCAGGGCAATTGCTTTTGCCATTTATCAAGCAGAATGTGCTATACGTGGACATAAGGGGTGATAATCTGCTGCTGTTCATGGGTGATACGTTTAAGATAATAAACCTGAGAAAGAGAAAGTTGCTGGTAAGTGGTAGTGTACCGTTTGATACATACAGTCTTTGTTTTGCTAAGGAGTACTTCATAGTAGGAAGCGATCTACAAGGCAACAAGTATTTCTTTATGAAGGAGATCGGTGAGTGGTGTAGGGTTAATCATGAAGAGAGCGATGGGTTTAGAATTGAAAGAGAGAAGGGCACTGAACGTAATGGATTGTTGAATGAGGGTGGGGATGGTGTACTGTGTGATAAGATGGGTGCTGATGGTGCAGGAAGCGGTGGAGGTGATGGTGTAGTTCATGATATTACGAGTGATAAAAGCACTATTCCTGGTACTGCACCTATCAGCAGTACCACTACTGCTAAAGACACAGGCAGTGCTCTGTTTGATAATATGACAATTTCACAACTGTTTGATAATGACGAACTTTCATCCCTGGAACATATCGAGTATAGCATACTTAAGAAGCAATCACCGACCAAAGTGTTGGCCCGTTTGCGATTGTTTGTAAGCAAGTTGAAGAGCATGACAGAGATGATAGAAATACGGCTAGAGAATATTTTTATTAATCTTGTTATGAATGAACTTAGATTGGATGTTATTGGCATATTAGAAGAGATGAAATGTACGTTTCCCGTTTTTGTTTACGAAGTGCTTGGGAAGATAACGTGTATGGATAGGGAGTAGAGGTTTTATATGGAGTGACGCGTACCATATCGTTGTATTAAGGGCATGGTCGTGTTTGATTTACTTCTTCTTGGTCCGTTACTGATCGGTTTAATCCTTAACAATGGTGAATCATCTTCACCGTGTTTATATGTCCATTTCGTGGATATGTTTTTGAGGTCTGAGCAGCGTGCTACCGTTTAATATTCCTACTCCAAACGCTAATTTCCTTATCAAAGTGTTAATTATGCTCTTTTTGTCCAGCATTTACACGGAAAGAACGTAGAATTTTAACATTGATGAGCGCATCGTACCGTAATTATACCTAACGTATAATTTTAGTGTGTTAGGGTGTTCATCTGCAGGGTGTAAAGAATATTTTTGCATTCGCTTGAACGCGTCCATAAGGGTAATAGCAGCTGCGTTATTCTCGTTTGTAAGATAGAACGTAATATTTATAAAAATAATAAAATATTTCTGGCATTATCAAGGATGTTGCGCACGGTTTTAATTTAAAGTATTGCGTATGCGCATTGTATTGGGCATGCAAGGATTAATCGGTGCAAATAAACGTGCTACAAATAACGAGTGAGTGAATTAAGGCGAAGAAAAGCGTGTGAATGGTACATTGCACATTTTATACCAAGATAGCATTTAATGCAAAGAGGTACGTTCATTACCGGTAGCACGGCTGACAAATTAACTTTATATATCCAAACGTATGTTACCTGCCATTTACATCCCCAACATTAATTTTTTAGGCAATAAACATCACCAACCATACGTGAGTATAGTCGTGATGGCATGCCTGTTCGATAGAATAGGCGATCTACTATGCATGTGTATGGTACATAGCGGATAGAATACGGTGCTTGTTATTTAGTGCGGAATAAAAGGATGTTTAGATGTGTTTGGTACAGGTATTGTATTTATGGATGCATACAGAAAGTAAAGCAGTACTTACTTGTACAAGAGGGAGTTGCTGAACGGGCTCAAACTACGTGATATGTGCTCTCAATTTAAAGTGATGGTTTGACCAACCAACGTTTGGTTACCGCTCCATATCGATCTGAAGGGATTATCAGAACAAATTCACCGTTCAATCCACTCAGAGGTAAAGTAAGAAAGGGGCTGTGTTGGGCGGTAAATACGTATTTGGGAGGATGAGCCGGGCTAGGCAACGATCTACAGAACGGGCATAACCTATCATTGGTTAAAACGGTTTACTCACCACGATTACTACGTGCTTAGTCTTACGCTTGCACTGCAGTGCTGTAACTTGTGCATTTCTGTGGGACACTTCATTACTGTGCACCGTGGTAGCTGCTCAGTTCACCTCCGTGCTTTTCCTCTCCTAGTCTTCGTATCATAAACAGCCGCGCTGTTAACATACCAAATAAATAAACTTACCTCTCAAATAAATGTTCTTCATTCCAGCAAACGATGAAAATAGCAAAACACATCACATAGAAGGCTCATAGCCCAAATAAACTGCCAGTAATAGAATTATTTTCTCTTCATGTCAGCACCGCACCCACCATTACCCAACAATAATCACAAATTCACCTTTTCCACCAATAAAAAATGTAGCACCCATGTCATGCATCGTACTCATACTCGCGCTCGTACACGCGGCCCAACAAAAACGTTTTGATAAGCTTGTTAGAAGCATACACATGGCCACATATGATCGTTACTACAACGATCATATGGAATGGGAGGTTAGAAACTGCAATGACACCAATCGATCGACGCGTGGTTATTTTAGAGATTTGCTACCTGACATATGCCCGATGTACCGATCAACTAGGAAAGAGTGTTTGAAAGAGCGGAGAGCCGGTAGTGGAACGGAGTGTGTGATTCTTTCGACCGGAACGGGCGGTACGGGTATGAGTGGCAACACAAATGGTAATGAGGATGTAAATAATAGAAGCGAGCACCTGAGTTGTGAAGAGAATGGAACGGAAATTTGTGCACAAGCGGTTGAAAATAGGCTGGGCGTGTAATTCTGATGAGATGAAAGACGAGTGGGTGCTAAGCGATTTCTTGGACAAGCCGTAGTGGGAAAAGTGGTGATAATTACAAGCATAAGAATTTAAAGCAAGTTTAATTGGCGCAGTACCAACTTAGCTCTGGGCTATCATTGGTGATGAGGATAATTGCTAAATTAATTCTGAGCTGCAATACGTTCACAGCCCATTGTTAGGCTATGTCTGTGCACAGCCCCATGCCATCATGAGAAACGTAATGTAGCGGATCGCTATTGCCTCACATAAAGTCGTGATACGATGATTTGCCACTCAAATTTCTTCGTTAAAAATAATTTTTTACCATCTCATCTATTCAATACACTGCTCTGAACCGTTTGGCCGAACATACATGCCTTTGATCCATGGATTTACTTCCTAGGTGTGCCTTTCAAACCGTGACGCTCCATGCACAAGAAAAGCGTTCATGTCATAGATGAAATGGTGACAGCCACCGGTACACCTCGCTGATCCTATACAGAAACTGCTGTGTTATCCTGCGACAGCGAACATAATAGCAGCTGCTATCAAGTTATTGAATCGTTCTGCTACAGCTGTGCTCAAAGCCGTATTTTCTTCACTAAAAGTCGCTTATTTTTCATCCTTCCACCAAGCATGTTTCGTACGATCTACCCAGCCTAACTTCTTCACTAAAATCGCTTATTTAACTCCTCACCTATAAAATCCTTTCATACAAATCGTTGCAGGAGCGGGTACTTGAGTGGTGTACCACGGATAGGAGCTTGTAAAGGACCAGCACATGCAAAAGCGCTCATCTGCACGATCAAGCTACGATTGATAGCGTGCTATGAGTGGTGTAGGTAACGTAGGCTAAATTTATCAGAAATGCGCTCAGAAAGAATGCTAAAAACACCAAACTCAAGTGTTTGCGCTCCGTGCAGATAAAACCACTAACAGCTTTATTTACTTCTTCCTAAACGATTTAACCTTCTCCATGAAGGCATCACGGTAGCACGTCCACACAAAGCTTAGCGCCCCGCCGAGCACAAATGTTACGATCGTGAGCAAATTATTGCCATATTTCAACGTAGTGCCATCAAAATGCGAGTTCTCCATGTAATCGATTGGAAACAGATTGTCAATTATCACGTCCAACATAAAACCGGTCAAAATAGCCTTGCACACCGCATGGTGCATCTCCCTTTTCACCTTCTTAAACACCACAAATCCAAGAAATGCAACGACTATGAGCGGTAAAAACAGAAGTATCCTGGGCATATTGAGCAGTAAAACAATCATGTACGAAACGATGTATGCCGATCCGATCGCAGTGAACAGATTGTAAAGCTTTTCATTCTTGGAGAACACCATCACGGCTATCATGAGCAGAAAGCTGATGGCTGCCCGTATTAAGAAGAATTGCAGAGGAATGTACGTCAGGATGTGCAGTACCATGTAGTAAATGGTGGTACCGGCCAGCAGAAGCTCTTGGAAGCCGCCAAACATTTTGACAGGAATGTACAGCGCTATGAGGAGCACGAACTCGAAAAATACGAAGCCTATGAGTATTAAGAGGTTGTTAAAGTTTACGTCGCTGAGGTAGCATGGAACAAGGAACACCGGCTCTACGTCTGCCATGTTGCGATGGTACGAATGCAATAAATAGGAACAAAAGGGGAAAGACGCCTAATGAAATGGGGCGTGTAAAAGGAGCGGTGTTGGAGCGCAATAATTGGGATAGAAGCACGTTTAGTGATCGGAGAGGAGCGACTGATCGTTCTATTATAAAAGCACTTTTCTTCAGAGAATGGTATTCTGGAGCGGTAACGTACTGATCCGGTGCTTGCTACCCTATCAGGTTAAAAGAAATGAAAATTTAATTAAGAATTGCTTGGTGGACCGCAACACACGAAGGGCAGTAATTCGTACCAGGAAATGAAAGTTTAACCAAGAATTGTTTGACAAGGCGATGAAAACGTACAGCACTGATTATGGGCGTGAAATACAAAACAAACATTAGAATAACATTTTGTACAACGTGCCGTACACAATCCTACACCACCACGTATGATACGCAGCTCAATTAAATTTCTTGCTACCTCAGTTGCACCACACCATCCATCACAGTGTACTACGCATTGATTAAGTACCCGCCATACAAAAGGTGTCATGGACAGCATTGCACTCGTGAAGTTTAAAAAGATGAGAGAGGGAATGAGCGAGCGGTGTACCTCGTGTATTGAAATATGCCAAAGATGAAGTTTAAAAAGATGAAAGAGGGAATGAGCGAGCGGTGTACCTCGTGTATTGAAATATGCCAAAGATGAAGTTTAAAAAGATGAGAGAGGGAATGTGCAAGCGGTGTACCTCGTGTATTGAAATATGCCAAACAAAGGAAAACACGCAGAATGATTGCCATCCACTGCATCACCAGAAGATAAACCACTCGCCTATTCAATACGTGGTGCACGTCTTTCATGTCATCCATGTCCCTACCAATCATTCTCGTCCTACCTCATGAGAATGCCAAAACAGATCGTTTTATCCTCAGCCAATTACGTGCCGCACGAGCAAAAAATTCCTTTTTTACCAATCGGGAAGAGTTTCAATCGATAAACCATGTTCGTTTCAGCAAAGAGTACGATTGGTCATACGTGGATATGAACGAATGAAGGTGTGTATTTGGTGAGAAGGCTCCCCCCGTGTGAAGGGGTACTAAACGTGTTTAAGATCAAAATGCAAGGAACGAACGTAATTTAAGCGAGATATTGTTCAGGAGCTGCTCAGCTGCACGTGAACAACGGGTCTATTCTATCATCAAATCGACTGCGCTGTTCCCGTTTAAAAACAGAACGCTTTCAATTTCGTAGGATTTCCTCAAACTTTCATTTTGCTTTCAAACCTTCATTTTGCTTTCAAACCTTCATTTTGCTTTCAAATCTTCATTTTGCTTTCAAACCTTCATTTTGCTTTCAAACCTTCATTTTGCTTTCAAACATTCATTTTGCTTTCAAACCTTCATTTTGCTTTCAAACATTCATTTTGCTTTCAAATCTTCATTTTGCTTTCAAACCTTCATTTTGCTTTCAAACTTTCATTTTGCTTTCAAACATTCATTTTGCTTTCAAACATTCATTTTGCTTTATTCCACCACGTACCGCATATTTCATTGCTGCTACAACTCTTCAAACGGTAATGTTATAGAACAATAATTTTCCTTTAAAAGTAATCATTTTCTAAGAATTCCGCGTTTGCCGTTCATTTCCCTTAAAAATGGTAAATCTTGAAATTGACACCTCACACCAAGATAAAATACAACTGCTACAGCGATCTGCTCATCAACTATAAGTAGATCGTACGCTGCGCATTTCATGGCCAGCTTTCCGTAGGTATGGTTTGAAGGCTTTATCCCTGTAATTTACGTTACGCACGCCGAACGAGACGTAGTGCTGCACAGCAAATGGCCATTTGGTGAACGTTACCAAGAGTGCTTTGTGTAAGTGTTTGCCCAGCCGTGTATTGAATTGGTTCATGGTTCTGGCACTGCTCAATGCGTCTCATATGAAGTATTCTCTCTAAAAGCAGTAAAAATAAATTTAAAATTAACTAAATATTGCGGTTCTACCTGCCCAACAATGAATTACAGCCCGCATTCTCTTACAGGACCACGAATGACGCCATGTCCTGCGTAATATCTCCATATCACGTCACTTCCTTGCGCACTGTCAAACTCATTGCAGCGCCCAATAATTTATCATCACGCACCTCCTTTTCTCGTTTATAAGACACTCAGCCACGCTCAGAATGCCAAAAAAGCAGTATCCCGGTGACTGGGGCAAGCTTTCTGTTCCTGTCCCACCATTCGTGTTCGATGTTTCGTACGAAGAGCTGTTCTCACTCATCATGTTCGTGCTGTTCCAGCTGCTCATGCTCACCTGCATCACTGCACCGTATGATAACTTAATATGCCTGCAAAACCACCTGTGCGCAGGTTTAGGCGCGTACTACATGGCAGAGCACCTCATCGCCATCGCAATTTACGATCTGGCAACGCCACTCGCAATCATGTCAGTGGTGCTCATCCCCGTGCTTTCGTTCTACAAACCGCTCATAGGTAACATTGCACTGCTTGTCAGCAGTGCGTACGTTCTCAGCTACGTTTTTACAATCATGGTCAGCTTTGAGATGATGCATGCGTTCCTCGTTGTGTACGCTTGCGCTCTTCTGCCCGTTGGTCTGCTGCTGCTGCGGATGAAGCATTTTCTTGCGCAGACCAAGGCTATTATATGCGCGTTCTGCTCGTTGGTGATTATCAACTGCGTCTCGCCGGTTGATTTCCTTCTGTACGCACACGGTGTTGTGTATGATGTGGGGACTGGCAGCAAGATTGTGATCTGCGTGCTCTTCTGTTCATTTTGGTGCGCTTTTTCTGTGTACTTCACGTTTACCAAAGAGGTGGTCGACAGAATCGCGGAGTGGCGCGGCAACAAAGGATGAGAGCCGGTTCATGCCGCTCATCGCTGATTGCGTTACGTTCATCATTTCGTGTTGTGCACTTCGCACTTCTGCGGGCTGTTCACAGGGCACAACACGAAATGATGAACGTAACGCAATCAGCGATGTACCACCGGTCCTACACCGTAACGTAATTCGTACGCAAAATGTTTCACCGGCATTGATTAAAACGTGGAGATACGCCCTGCTCTACGCGCGAGCACAGCGATGAGATTCGCAGAACGTGCGTGGTAAAATGAGGACCGCCATGATCGCAGTGGTGCCTGCAATGAGGGCGTGTTAGGCAGGTGAAAGCGTTCAATCGCAGGGAGATAAACGGCAGCAGTTCGTATGCGGTGCTCTAACCCGTATTTACGTACCATGCTGTGTTAAACAAAGGAAATGGCGAGGTTGAAGTGCTGAGAGAGGATGTGAGCGGTACATTTCCGGTGTATCACACCGTGGTAGCACGTTTGGTATGAAAAGATGAATAAACGTACTTTTAGCCAAAGAATAGCACATTTTGATCAACCAGCCATGGATCACCAGCTCGTTCACAATAAAGCACTGCCACCAACCACCGGCCAATAAAACCGTTCATATCAAACACAAAACCATTTTTATTTAACATTTGATGCGCTCAGCATCCTCTTCTCCCTCATCCCCTGCACAACACAACACAAAACCATTCCCACAAAACTGAAGCGAAGCGCAAAAAAATTGCCGTACCGTGAAACGTTGTTCGCAACGTTTCTTTTGGAGAGTATGCCGAAGAATGCACCCGTTAAATACCCTGACACGTACGATATGCCTGCTGCTCTGTACAAGAGCGTGGTGAACGGAAGAGAAAATGAAAACATTTTGATGGGGGTGGTACTTTTAGCGGTGTGCTTGTTCTTGGACATGTGGCCGAGGAGAGGAGTTGCTGTGGTTCTGCGTACTTGTGCTGCTAATTCTGTTTGCTAGAACTGTAAATGAAACGTGTTTTTGTGGAAATTGTGAGAGGTGTTGCATGGAATGAATTGTACGGCAGAGCGGGGTATGTAAATACCTGCAGAGCGTAGCTATGACAGAAATTGTGTAGCAGCAGTACAAAATGCACATCAATTTGATAAAAATTTGGGAAAGTAAGCGAGTCTTACAAAGAGAACACGTACACGGTGCGCATGATGACCAAAATTACAAAACATTCATCTTGACGGTTCACTGTTCATTTTTGCTGATGTAAGCTGCTCTCGTGCAATGATCAAAGCACTTCCTGCAATAACCGTTTTATTTAAATTTGTAATTCTTATTTAAGATTCATTTATGCATAAAACTATAAATAGAAACAAGGTGCATGAAAATTGTCCTCATTTACTCCCTCATCACCGCTCAGCAGCCCTTACTCACAGCTTAAAAGTCCCATGCTCCTAAAATATCCCACGAAGAACTCTCTTTCCTTGCCCTTCATCTCGCCAAGACATCTCTCAACGTTTACATTACCGCTCCTCTTCAAATATGCCATCCAAACCTTCTTCGTTCGCTTGATCTTTTCGAACCACCTATCATAGCCTTCTAGCACAGCAATACCTACGTGGTAGTACTTAGGATACTCAAGAAAGGCCGAGTTATCCCTTTTTATGTACTCGATGTAACTGCGCCTTGTCTTGAGCATAAGAAATATTTGCTTGTACACTTCGATGTTCTTCTGTCCGGTGAAAATATCCTTGAGTTCGAGAAGGTTCCTTTTGTATTTATTCAGCTTCTTTCGAAATGCAGGCAGATCCATTTCTCTTAGATTTTGCACTGTCATATCGGGCAGGGATGTGTCCGGTAATTTATCGTTCTCAGAACTAGCAGGTACTTGGCAGGGCAGCGATCCGTGGGCAACATCAGGGACATGAGCTGTTTCGTTGGCACATTCATCATTCCATCCCACACTCAGATCTACGCTATCGTCCTCCTTGAACAGGTACCTTCCATCATCAAAACGGCACACCCTCAGTCGCAGCTTATCGTTTAACCGATACTTCCTATTACTTAAGAACACACCGCTCACACCTTCCCTATGTACCACGTATTTGTACCGGTAGAGAGCGTTTGCACTGCTATGAACAGCCGTGCTACTCCTATTTTTATGGTTTTCAGCATTTTCCACATCAATGCTGCACTCCTTCATAACCTCATACTCATGCCCATCATCAATTATCTTTCCCACCTGCACGTATCCCCTCATCCATCCGTCAACCACAAACCGCACGCTCTCAATCCTCCCAAAGTTAATCCTCTTGATAATCACCTTTACGCCATCAACCACATACTCAGGCTCAGAATCATTAGCCCTGGCAAGAAATTTATCACGCTCCATCTCCTCACCTGTATAAACATACCCAATCTCGTCTTTCATAGGCACGTACGGCACAGCCTCACAACCATTCACCACTCTATAAACTGACACATCCTTACCGATCAGTTTCTTCTTGCATCGGTAATTTTCCTTGAAATACACGTAGTTGAAGTCTTCGTATATTTTGTGGCCGGTGAAAACGATGCTGTTCTTGGTTTTTATGTATGCGGGTGATAGCTGGTAATTCAGCACGCTGAAGAGTGTTGATGTGTGTGATGTTGGAAGGGTGTGAAACGGATTGTAGAACTTGTTGTTTGATGTCTTGCCGTAGAGTATCAGCGGGCTTTTTGGTTTTGTCTTTAGTTTTTTCATGGGTATGAAAATTACGTGGCTTATAGTGCAATACCGGTAGGAATGATCGGGCTGAGCACAGGGATTAGGAGTGGCACCGTGTTGAGTATTTGAGCAGTGTGAGCAAAATGATGTAATAGAAACACACATTGCGCAATATGCTATCAGATCGCTTACTGTTCAATCTAAAGGCAATAACAAATTGCCCAGCAGTAGAAGAAACTACAATAAGAACAGAATAGCTCTTTATTAGCTACCATGCCATAAAAAGAGTGTTTAATGGCAGGGCACCAAACCAAAGACACGAACTAACCGTACGTTCTACCCCTCGTACTCCTCAATTGCACGTATCAACCGACCAACCTTTTCCTTAATCACCCGCAGCGCCATAACCAGCACATCAGCAGGTTTGCCCACCTCATCAAGCACCTCAAACTCGATCTTCTCACCGTTAATCTTCACCACCGTTACCACACAAAACTTGGCGTGCTCCTTTGCAACGCCCGTCCGTGCCAACGCAGTCATCTTTACGCTCTGTTTCTCCCCCATCTTGCAGATCAACCCTTTCAACCGCGTGGTATCCACCGCATCGGAGAACAGATGCGATGCATTGACAGTCATGCCCTCGTTCGATACAGCGTTCAAAGAGAAGGTAACGCTGCATTCAGGACATGACACGTTGCATGTGCATTCTTCCTTTCGTTTTAGCGGTGTTATGGGAAGTGGAATGAGAGAAAGGCGGTGCACGAGCATTTCGTTTGGAATGCACGTTGTGTTCTTGTGTACTGTTACCAGATCTATTGCTATGGTGGGCACTTCGCTGAGAAGAGTGCGACGTATTGCGTTGAGAAATGAATTTGTGGATGGCGTGATTGTGAAATTAATGGTGGTGGGCGTTGTTTCGAGTATTACCATTTTTTTCATGGGGTGAACACGGTGTACCGTATTAATAAGGGGATTAATGGGGCGTACCATGTTAACGGGGACACCGTGTTGGTGAGGATCAGTGGAGTGTACCGCGTTGCAATACGTGTACCGTTTTAACAGATATAATACTGCCGCACAGCAATTTCAAATGAAGAGGTACCTCCTCGAAATCATGCCCTGTCTAAGTCTAACTGCACCGAACCGTTTTCTTCACAACGAACAGAACAATTCCCTGGTACCGATGTTCACCGTAAAAATTGCTTAAGCAATGAACAATCGGTAGGAGCATGCTGCTATGCATGTGAGAAGCACATGCATACGAATTAAATGGGTAGGTGCACCAAAAACATGAAAATACGTACAGTACCACGCCGTGATGCACTTCCCAAAAAGAGGTGTTTTTCGTTTTAAGTACGTTCAATTACTGCGGTGATACGGGAAATGAAGGTGTTTGCCCTGTAAAACGAATGAAATGTTGCTGAGTTTGTGCGTATTATATGACCATGAGATGCAGTACGCGAAGCGTAGCACTTTATAAGCATTTAAGACGTGCAAACAGAATTAGAATGTGTACTAAGAATGGATATGCACCAAATTAGGATATGATACTTCAAATCTGTTCTAAATGGCAATTCGTACCAAACTTTGATAAATCGTTCATCTTTAAACACACAAACAAACGCGGTACTACCAACCAAATACACAAAAAGAACAGCACCCGCAACGAATTCTTGCACGGAGCATTCAACCAGCAATGTAACGCTTTAACTACACTACCGCAATACTTCATTGCAATGCCCCATCACACGCCTAGTACTTCTTCCATCATACACTACCGCAATATTTCATTGCAATGCCCCATCACACGCTTAGCACCATCCAGCTCAACGCGTTTTATGCTCTTTCTCCGCACGACAACTTTCTTACCATCCAAAAAGACGTAGATTTCCTTCAAATTACCATTCCGTACTTCGAGCACATCGTTACGTATGGTGTATGTTACTGCACGTGGGAATAGCACGTACAGCTGCACAGCAATGCTGAAGAGGATTAAAAAGAAGAACGGAGCAAACTTGGAGTATCTCTTCATGGGGGTGTGCACCGCTACGCATTTTACATAGCAGTACGTGATGCGATAATACATATCACAATCGTGTACCGTAACGTATTGCAGCGTAGCACAGAGTGGCTGAAATGAATGTTTAACTGATTGAGTGCGTGATAAAATTTGGTTTGTTTATAATTTATGATGTGAGATGGATGAGTGCGTGGCATGAATTGGATGATTGAACAGGACATAGGTGTTATGAGCGTATTAGTACTGTGGTATTAATACGTAATAGATCTAGCGACCGTAAAACCATCCTCCTCAGCAGACTGTCAAAGCAATGCTTCCTTCTGTGAATGGTAAAAGCGGATAAAAAGGAAAAATCAAAATTAAGAGCATGAAAAGGGATGTGTGTTAATACCAAGGAACGGGCACGACCAACACTCGTACAAAACATGATTAGGACCAAAGAACGAAATAGAACAGTGCACGAAACATCAGGACATTACAATTCTCATCAGAAGGTGCAATGCGTGGTACATCCCCGTGCTACATCTCATACTCATATTTTTACTTACCTATAAGTAATAAAGAACATCCTTGAGCTTCTCTTCGGTCTCAATCAGCCTATCACCGTCAACGTAGCACTTAGCACGTGCTGCCGCCAAGTGCGCGTAATATACCGGTGGCACTACACTCACACTCTTGGTGGCTCTCGTGAACACGTGGCACATGTTGTAAATGTACAGGGGAAAGTTTGGAATGTTGTTCTCATCAACCAACACGTGATACTTGATGGGACAGGGCGTGCCCTGCAGAGCATAGTGCGATATCATATAGAAATCGTTGTAAACCGTTCCAACGCTATCAACAAGCGTACCCGGCATGGGGTTGCACGTAGGACCGCGCCGCCTGTCCTTTACAATCTCATCTTTTCCGTCTCCCTTGAATCTTACCGAATGCCTCTTCTGAACAACCACGAACGTAAGCTTGGGGCGGTACCCCTCATGGAGAGCTGCACACGCCTCCCTTATGGCCTCAATTTCTCTGAAATAAACATTCTGCATGAGAGAATCACCAATGCCATCCCTGAAAAAGATTATCTTGCGCGGTATCTTCGTGGTGCATGCACGGAAACGTATGAGGTGATTCTTCGTTATGTTCGTGAGGTCCTCAATGATGTCCTGCCGCTTGGGCTGCATCCTCAGCGAGGTGTGGTATCTGCTGAAGTTCTTGTCAAGAGAACTTACGACTGCTGCAATGCTGTTGCTGCTCAGGTCACCGAATCCCGGATGCGTAACATCTGCCCCAAACACAATGAGCTCATCCTGCGCAATATCAACGGTAAAGTTCACACCGCCCAGCTTGGTGTTGATCTTCAAGGCGATGTTGCCGCAGAACGACCCGTCCTTGAGCTTTTCTACATTCTGCTTCCTGACGCACTGTGTGACCACACAGCAGTTGATATCTGCAATCCGCTTCACCTCCTGATATACAAACGACGACTTGTCCTGCAGGATTATCATGGCCAGCTCATGTCCCTTGATGTGCTCTTCGATGTTATCGAGTGTGACCTTGCGTACCCCAAGAGGGTTCGCCATTATAACACCCATGTCATTGCATATCTTCACCAGGTTCGGAATATACCTGTTGATGTATGATACACTTTCATCTGCAAGCACGAGCACCACCCATCTCAGCACCGCTACACCGCGCACCACCTTCTGATTCTTTAGGTTCCACGATCCTCTACTTGGCTGGACACTTCCTGTAGCGAAGAGCACGTCGGGCGGGCTCAATCTCTTCCCAAGACAATCGTAGAAACGGTCACTGATCTGAACATTGATATTCGTGAGCACCTCGTTAGAGGTGATCTGCATCGATCTCATGCGGCTCTCCAAGCACTGAAACCGATCCACAGCAGGTCGTGCTGCCATTCTGATCACTTCTGCCGTTTGAAAATCGGTGAGCTTCTTGACGTATTTCTGCCCCTCAATGATTTTCACAACCTCGATGGGAAAGAAAATGTTGCCATCTTTCTTCTTAACAACCACACACGGCAGGTAGGGGTGCTGAAGCGGCCTGTACTGCTTGGAAAAGTACTCCGCTACGCTCATATTTTCCTCTCCAAAGAATGTGTCACACGCACCCTTGTCAGTCACATCAATGCATTTAAACTTCGGGTTATTCTTTCGGTGCACCGTTGTGAGCCGGACATTCTTCAAAAACTTGGAGAGCGCCCTGAACTTGTTCGAATCGACGCGCCGAAGATCAACATGGTCATCTCTGCGGCGCTGGCACATCTTGAAGAGCACGTCGGTCAACATTATCGGTTCGTAGAACGGTGTGAACGCAACATCAACGTTGAGAAAGAATTTGTCGTTCAGATGCTTTACACGTTGTGTAAGACCGTGCCACAGCTCAATGCCACCCGAAATGTGTGTCTTCTCAGCACTCGACACACTCTTCCTACCATCTGCAAAGAACATCTTGGCCTGGTACGATCTGAGCATGATCTCAAGGCACTGCATGCCCATAGGATCGTTAAGCGAGTGCGTATTCTTGTATTCGAACTTGATCGTTACCTCGCTGCTTCCAACCTTCTCTACATCAACTATATCCTGTGCCAGTTGCTTGTTGGCCACAAGGATGGTATTACCATCGTATCCCACGCTGATGCCCTGAAACTCTTCGGCATGCCTCTGCACAATTGCACCGACCACCAGGTGATTGAGTCGCCGCGCTATTGCTGGCTCGATTAGCACAGCGTAATGACAGAATGTCAGATCCGGTACTTTTATCTCCAGAAGATTTGTTGTCAGTGGCACGTTGCCTGGCGGCACGTTCTTTGGCCGTAGCATTAATTGCATGTTGGTTGCCATACCACCCCTCGTTGGTTTTATTTTTTTTATTGAGTTGGTGCTGATTGAAGGGGCAGAATCAGGTATAAGGAACAAGTCCCTGGTGATTTGACATTTTTGTGAAATAGTAGGGATCGAAAGAAACGAACGAGGTTCTGGTGGATTAAAGAGATGTAATTGTTTGGATGAAGCGTGAGATGATAAGTGAAGCACATTGTTAATGGGCAAATGAATGAAATGTACGTTTAGGGATGAAAAACAAATAGAATGAAACGTACTCTTGGCAGGAAAAATTGAATGCTGTAAAATTAGAATACCACTCGTCTTTTTCCTGACGGTCTGTTGTGATAATGAATGAACATTCCTTTCTGAACTCCTTCGTGGCAAGAACAATCCGATCGGTGCACAGTAAGGAATTGTTGAAGTACGATCATGTACACGTACCGTTTTGTATTTTTGTTCGTTGCGCCAACAAATTTTTAACAAAACGAAATAAATGGGGAAGAGAGTCGGGCCTATCATACTGTTCCGTGGGATACACCGTAAGAACAGCACGTGTGCTGAAGTAATGTTAAATTGATTGGAAAAGGGTAATAGCATGAACATGGTCGCAGCATTTCTAACAAATTGAGGTACAGGCCGTAAACCTGCACATGCATGTTTGAGCTGCTAATTGCTGCTTACGTGTTAATATTGATGTTTTGTTCGTGTACCACGCATTATAAATAATCTCAAATTTATGATGATCACGTATCAGGACTGGTGCTCGCAGTGATATCGCCATTGCTTGTTGGCGAAATTTCTTATAAGGAGAGCAGCAAACAGAGGAAATCAGAAATTGCTGTTAGTTTTGACAAACCCGTTCGGCCAGATAGGAAGTACTGAAATGCACCATTGCATGGATTAGTGCGCACCGCGCAGCGCTTGTTTTTGGGCGGTGGGATGCGCAATGCCGTTTCGCATATTCTTCCTGTTATGAGTGATTGCCGTGTGACTGCTTGTTAATTAACAACACCTAAGAATTTTGGTTGTTATCATGACGAACATCGAACACTCGGAGAGATATCGATCATGGTTCGAGAACTTTCCTTTAACAGTCACACAAAATATTTTTTGGCTCCAAATGGAAAAAGAAATCATCTCTGCTATAGGGCCTGCTGAACCACACCCATGCCTGTCCAGTTCTTCCCTCGCTCTCTACCTAGAATAACATTTTACACTCCTTGCAGTACCTGCTTCATTTACAGTGCACTGGTGGTTTAAATACCAAAAGAATAATCGGTGTAGGTGGGTGAGCGGTAGGTAGGTTCATTCTAATTTGGTTTCAGCGGTAATTTCTTGCAAAGTTTCAGAGACAGATTTAACGAAGAATATCCTCAGAACATAGGTTGGTGTTAGAAACGTACTGCGATCACATTTATGGCACTGATACACGTTTATGTGTTTAAATAGCTGTGATTTAATTCTAAATAGATGAGCAAATAGTTTATTATACGGTGTACAGAAGAACAACATTTTATGAGCTCGTATGCACGCCGTGTCCATATCATCGCAACTTGTTCGTTTCGCTTGTTTTTGTGGTCAAAATCGTTTGTTTATCTCTTTACACATCTATGACACCGCTTTTGGCATGAAGTGCATCTCCGTGTACGCAAATCTTGGCGACGGGTGTTCAGGATAAAGATAGCTCTTTGCACAAAATAAGAACCGTGCTGGTTGTGAATGGCTGTTTGCATCTGCTCGTACCAATCAGATTGTGTTTGATGGCACGTGCTATACAATCGATTCGCTGGAATGTGTGATGAACGCAGACAGCAATTCACTCGCTAATTTGCTGGTGTGATGTAACTCGGTTACACAAATTTATGATTTGTGTGTTGGTTTGCCTGTCTGCTCTACGAACGAGAACACCACTTGCCTTATTACAGTCTACCTGTTGGTCTGTTCATCGGTAAAAGTAACTGAGCTTGTACGTGCTTGGTTGCAATCACACGAACAGTCTCTCGTCTAGACCGGCTCGTGTAGCACCATTCAGCCACCTACGCTCAGATCGATACGTATAAGCATCATTCTTGCGATATCTCATTCGAATCGGGCATCACTGCTCAATGAGCCGCTCAGCAATCTTCTGCCTCATCGGCCCAGCAGTGCTCATACGTGCAATCATTCGATTAGCGTTCATCCTTATCTTTCCACTCACACACCGCAGCCAGCCGTACCAATCCGATCACAGATATTTCAAAACATCAATCTCAAAACCAAAAAAGTTCTTATCACATATTTCTATCAGTGTAGCAGAATGCTGCATATATAAGGTCCGTTGGCACAAAGCATCCACTAATAGGGCACCATCGATGCGCAGATCGTTTCGGATTTCCTTTAAAATGAATGCTCTCGCACATCTCATGCTATTATATCTTACCTTCATACTTACCTCGGAATTTAAGCTTAAACACGTCACAAGCAATCTCTTTGTAGGACTAGATGGCGATTATCCGCGCTGGGTAACTCTGCAACGCTCAAATACTTTCGAGGAGAAACCGTCGAGAGTTGATGGCGAAAAGATAATAACCGTAAAGGAACTCAAGAACAAGGTGTGGGACATTGAGGGCAACCGTAAGTACCTCATATTCTATCCCGAGCATGGCGAGGTCAATCAAAGATTCAATATCGTGAAGTTGGCGCGCGGTAACGTGCGAATAAAGAGTGCGAACGGGCAGTGTATAGTTTACAATGAAGGTGAGAAGAAGTTTGAGCGAAATGACTGCGCTGATGAGTCGGTGACGCAGGTGTTTGTGCTTACGGATGCTAATGGCGTTGCAATCGGTGGCGCGTGGGGTGCTGGTGGCGAGGGAGGAGACCAATGGGGCAACGAATGGGGTAACGAGTGGGGAAGTGGATGGGGTGCTGGTAACGGGTTATTTGGAGAGTACAAGATGGACCAAAAAATGGCACTCGATGAGCTGGGAAGAAATGCGCGTTTCCTTGATTCTGGAATTATGTCTGGCGGAATGTACGGCAACGGAAAATTCGGTGACAAGGGCATGTACGGTGGAGGATATTCTGGCAGTTTTATGAACCAGAAATTGGACGGAATGTTTGACACCCTCCCGGCCATGGATAAGCAGAGACTATTAAGAATGTACTATCAGAATGCTGGAGGTGGATCACAATCAGGCCGGTATTCAACGTCTAGCAGAACGCCCAGTTCGTACAGCTTTTTCCGGTCATTTTAGAATAGGTTCAAAGTAAATAAAAGTTTTGACTGAAAAATAGTGGTTTAGGCGATTGAGCACGAGTGCCAAACTTTTTCCTATTTATTGCTGCTCACGACAACAACCGTACTTGATGTCAACACGGAAGGACAGTCAAAACATTGAGAAACGGGCCTTTCATATTAACATTTAACCGGTCTCTTCAATGCAACGAGAAAGGTCGCCTACCGTAAGTTAGCTTTGGTCAGCTTGTTCAGGCCTCGTACACCCTTCATTTCGTAGATGGTTCCATTTATTTGCGTGCACACGGATTGGCACGTGCACCTTTTTCAACCGGGTCATTTCTTTTTTCTTTAGGCACTTTGTTCTGATCATTTTACGGTCTTTCAAGCAGCACTTCTTTGTAAGATTTCATTACCAAAAGGCAGATCCTCCACGAGAGTTGTGTATGAAATAATCAAAGACACGTGCGATTGAAATTAATTTGCATGGTTCATCCTTAAAAATACAACACGGTACAATTGCATATTCAATACCAGATGCGTGATGTGGAACAATGCGTTTGTTTTTCTGTTGCAATATGGAAAAACAGCCCTCTACCAACAGTTGCATACATTTGAATTAATTTGGTTGAAGAACGAGAGCTGTTAATGTCTTGAGGGAGAAAAATAGAAAAAATGGCAGAAATTGATGGAAAAAAGTGGTATCAAAGACAACAAACGAGTTTATATATGTAATGAACCTTGATCTTGCTTTATTCTGGTGCTGCATTTGATATAAGTCCTACAGAATACTTTTACGGTCGAGATAACTACCACTCCGTACCAGGATCAATAAATCATCTTTCTACAGCACTATCGAATCATTCATATCACAAATACATTATTCTAATACTTACATCGTGCGAGTAACCTTTCTGCAGCAATATTAAATTATTTATTACTATCCGTGCTATTTCCATTTATAAAACCGAGCAAAGCGCAATTATATTTTGAATTATTATGCTGTGTTATTATTTCTGGTTGCTTCTACCTGTTTAAATCTTTTATTAGGGGCTAGTAAATTAATTTATATCATGGTGATTGCAATGGTGCACACCACGTACGTTCAATTATCGTGGAGGTAAAGGGAAAGAAAGAAACAACCTCTTATACACAGAATAATAAAAATATGCTTCTCAACATTTATAACGCATGGTGTTTTCTCTAAATGACACTTGTCGTAAAAACAGAATTTGTGCCTCATTTTTGGTTCTCTACATTGCCATGAAGCAATTAAAGTTGTTTTGCATCCTCAATCTCCTTTGAGGTAGTAAAAGACACTAAGCTGAGACTAAGCAATGTTTTATTCAGAAGATTTGAACAAATCACCATTGTATTGTAATGATGAGCACGAACTATTCACATCGGTACTTTGTTAATGGGCAATTGAACAGACGGATATGCATACACCTGTGTGCAGCTGCTTAATGGGAAATGTCTTGTTTTATTGGTGCTATTCCTTATCAATAAACATTTCAAAGAGCGTTGTGAACGGAAAGGACACAACCAAAGGACATTCATTCTTTCGAAAAAGAACGAAATTAAGTGATAGGGTGATGAAACAGAAACTGATCTGGTGGATCACCTTTACATTGGTATATTCAGCATGTCTATCACATATGATTGAGAGATATTATTGGGATGGCATGTGGTTAAAAATGGATACAATCCCAGAAAAGCTAGAGATTATAGGAGGAAGCAAATCCTAGATTAGCGATACTTCTTATAAATAGAAGTGCTTATAAATGGATAAATAACAAGAAGCTCGAATAAATTACAAAACTGCAATCGCAATGGATCATGCTAGTACAAGGGTATATCCCACCATACTGACCAAGAAGCAACCATTATGAGCTCATAACAATGTTTTAAAGATAAATATACGTTTTCCTAGTTGTAAAAATTGACAAACCAGATGTTTTGCGATATCTTAATTTTTCTGTGTCCTTTTCCAATCGTATTTATGGCCCAAAAGAATCATGTTTGGACATCTTATTCGCAAAATTATTCTTCTCTGTGTCAGGAACAATCATTGATTGGCCTATATAAAGGCATTCAGTACATATTAAAATATTTGACATATATACAAAAAAATCACAATCAACTTTGACAAGCATACCATTAGTAGCAAAGGAGCTTAGCAGATGTTGAAACAGAATGTATTATTTCAAGAAAATAGCTATATCGATGTTCATAGACATTATGCCTCGATTGCCTGCTTTTTGTAAATCTCTTATCAGCAAGAAACAGTTTTAAGGAAAACAAGTCAGAGCAAGGAGTAAAACTACCCAATAGACTTTTTTCATAATTTAAACCGCAAAAATAGTCGTATTCTTCCGGAAATCAACACATGTTTTTTTATTGATAGTTAGTTTACCTCAAATTGATTAAAATAACTTAAGAAGGCAGTTTTTTATCTTTGATTAATTGTAATATTTCCGTTTATAAAACGAAACTAAACTTAATTATCCATAAAATAATTTTTATTGCTTCCAACACGCGATGCTATGCTTTTCTTATTACTTTCATTTGTTTCATACATTTGATGGAGATTAAAGAATAAATTTTTGTTCGTTAATCATGTTCTTTGGCGTTATTTATAAGGAACATCTGAGCGTGCCGTAGAAAAAGTGAATTGTACAACAATTCGTAATCCTTTATATTGCACAAAAAAACAAAACTAAAATTTTTGATTTTTTATCAAACTGAGAAATCAACTTTTGAGTTGTCTTGTTATTTATACAAGTTCAATTACCAGAACAGAAGTATTGAGTTGAACTAGTATCAAGCCGGACAAAGAGTAGAAAAATAAAATGAATAATTGGATTGCATCTGCGATCAATATTTTGATAGAAAAGGTTAGAAAAAACATCTGATGGACCGTATACTCTTTTAATTCAATTACTTTACAAATCCGGACTTTAACATAACATAGCGGTCTTCTTTTCCCAAAGTGAGCTTTTCTCTTCCAAGCTATTTCAACTTGTCGCATCCGATACACAATTTACATCAATATCTATCTAATAACCGATACTTTGATATTTTTTTGTGTCAGATACTGTTATATTTCGATTTATAATATGTTAAGTGAGCTGGATGTAATAAATTTGAAAAAAATTAATACGAAAATGGAATCTTGTCAAAAAATGAGTAGTATCCAAAAACGGAAACTCAGAAAATATAAAAACAAAAAAATACGAAGATCTTATGATAATTTCACGATTTACTTACAGTTTATTATTTATTGTTACAACTTGTTTGATAGCAGCGACTGGTGGTAGTGATGATAGGGAAGCTAATTCTCCAACGAACAGAAGTGTCAATGATAATCCGCTTATCAACGGCCAGGAGTCTTTAGAGAATTTACTTGAATACCATAACATCGCTCCAGAGAAACGGGAAGCTATGATAACTATAATGTCGGATATTGCTGAAAGTGAAGGTGACACACTTGCTTCGGTTGAAAAATTGAAAAAAGAACCGAGTTTCAAAAGTTTAAGAGAACTTTGGGCTTCTTTAACATTGAATTTATTGACGAGTAACGGAGGTGGCGCTAGCACAAGTGCAAACGTGTCACATCCTCGCAATTCGTCCGGACAAAATGATGAAGATAGTGGAACATCACAACACAGTACGCAGAATACCCAAGATTTATCTACACAGTCAGAAAATGCAGGTACAACGAATGAACAGAATCAATTTGACGAGCGTACTCCATCCAATAAACCCGGAAGATATAATGTTCAGCAAAAAACCACAACGAAAATGATCGAGATAACAAAGTATACAAGAAAGACCACTACAAGAGCGCAACTGGGACCGAGAGAAGATGATCGTGTAGAGGTCAGAAGTGAGAATT